AATTCTCAACTTCAGTGCAACACTTTTCATACCTTTTAACCTTACACCACGCTGTCTTGAACAAGTTCGTATCCAAAGAGATGAGATGCTCTTGACTGAGCAGGGGTTAAACAGAAACACGCTACTTCCACCTGCTGCACTAAGTTTGCAAGTCAGCCATCAGTGCTCATACCTGTTGGCATGTATCAAGATTACGTTATGTCGATATTTCGGGGTATGTATTGCTGTATCGCACCGTTGCATGACGCCTTTGGCGCACACAGCAAAAGGTCACAAAGTTGCGCGGTGTGCTTGGCGTGTCGCAAGGACATGATCTATCACTTGCTGGTCAGGCGTGGTGGTAATAAATTCTGAGCCGCGGTGTTGCGTCGCCTCCTGACCTTTGCCAAGAACGGCAAGAATAGCCCTGCAGTCGTCCCCAGCATGGGCGTCGATCCATGAGATAGCGTGCTGTATGGCAGCAGCGCGGTCCGGTACGATTTCATAGCTGGTGCCGCTGGGCAGGTGGCGGGCGAGATCAGCACAGATGTCTTCGACGCGTTCATGTCCTGGGTCATCTTCGGTGAAGATAATGTGATCGCAGTATTCTGCTGCGATACCGGGAAGTTGCTGCCGACGTTTCTCCGCTTTATCGCCCGGCACACCAAAGACGCTTACCCATACATGTTCAGGGAATTGCTTCTTTAAGAACGCAAAGAGTTTCGTAAAGGAGAGTTCGTTGTGTGCGTAGTCTACGATGGCAGTGATGCGTTTATCAGCGCTTTCGACTATTTTCATGCGCCCAGGAACGGTGGTGTTTGCAAGACCACTACCGATTTCTTTAAGAGAAGCACCGCAGAGTTCAGCCGCTGCAAGAGCGGCAAGAGCATTTTCAATATTGAAGTCTCCACCTATCCCAACCTGGATACGTTGTTCTCCCTTGGGCGTGTGTGCTAAAAACGTCAGACATTCAGTTGAAGCAGTGATGTCATTTGCCCAAATATCAGGAACAATGCCGTCTATAGGCTGTGGGCCAGCGGCGGAAAAGGTAACGACGCGGTTAGCCCGTTGAGCGGCGCTCATAATAGCTCCAAGATGAGCGCTCCCAAGGTTGACGACGGCGATCCTGCAGTGGTCAAAAATGCGTAATTTGCTGGAGAGGTAGTCATCAAAATCACAGTGCTCAACGGCAGAAATATGGTCGGTTTCGATGTTAAGAAAGACGCCGATATCAAACGTTATACCAAGTGTCCTATCATA